GGGAGCAGGGGGGCACAGAACCACAGGCTGAGGACAGGTGGGTGGGGACCACAGCTTCCCCGGGCCTGTGCGGCTGCATCCCTCTCCCTCCCGAGGCCTCTGAGCTGGCCCCCCGCCCAGGGCCGCCCCACGCTCCGGCCAGGCCAAAGGGTCTGAGGGCTGGAGGCGCGCCTGACCTCCTCCGGCCGGCTCGCTCGGGCAGCCACCCACAGACGGTGGCCCGGCACATGTCGAATCTTCAGGGGACACCCGGCATCGTGCGGGCCTGGCTCTGAAGCAGTGCAAAGCCCGAACTGTGTTCCCACGGGACAGCATCGCCAAAGCGTTTCATCGGATCTGATCAAGCTCTAGACCAATCCTACTTGTACGCAATAAAAGGGAGGGGAACAATTCTACGGGACTGCCAGCCCAGGCCAACAAGTCAGTACCATTAAGAACAAAGCAGCAGCAGCAGGAGAGCTCGCTGTCATTTTACAGATTAGGGAACTCTGGGAGACTGAACTCCGCGCCAGCGTGAAGCTTATCTGGATGCTGTTGGAGTGTGCCAGCTCTGAGAGACATCTGGGGACAACTGGGGAATCTGAATACAGCCTGGCGTTTAGAAGTAAGAAATTAATTTTGCTAGGAGTGATAATGGTGCAGTGGGTAGACACGAACGCCGCCTGTCAGTGACGCACACTGAAGTGTTTAGGAACAGACTTGAACGGCGTGATGCAGGAAACGCGCTGCAGAGCGCGCGGGCAGGGGCTGCACGCCACTGTCAGAATCCCCTGAACTTTGCACCCAAGAGCTGTGTATTCTTTTCACACGTAACCTATACTTCAATGAAGAAAAACCACTTTTAACACATTAAAAAAGACAGATGAGGCAAACGTGGCCCAATGTTATGAAAACCTAAGTGGGAGGCACCCGAGGTTCAGCGTACTATTCTCTCTACTGTTCTCTGTTGCAAACACCTTTTACAGTAAAAAGGAAAAAGAAGAAAGCTCACCGGGCAAAGGCGTCGGGGCCTGAGCTGGGGACCCCAGGGCACGTACCTCCTTGCCCTGGACCCCCTTCCTTGGGCACAGAGTCATTTTAAACTATAAATACCCATGTGGTGATTTCAAAAATACTGCTCCAGTCTTACCTGGCTTTTCTGGGCCACGCTGTGCCCCCGGGACCAAGGCTGTTATTGTAAAAATGAAGGTGGGTGGGGAGGGGGGGAGGGGAAAGGAAAGGCACCTCCCCCGTCCAGGGCACCGACACGAGCCGCGCACCAGGCAGGAGCATTCAGCGGCACCTCGTTCAGTCCCAACAACCTACCAGCTGGGGAAACTGAGGCTCAGCAGCAGAGCCCTTGGCTCAGGGTGGTCTGCCCAGCTCCGAACCCCGAGCCCGTCCTCTGCATCAACCTGGTGAGGAAGAGCCAGGCAGCCCCGCAGCCCCGACAGGGTAAGTTGCACCTGATTTTAAGTGAATGCTGGGGCTTACGAAGAAAAAGATGCACGTCCTCCTGATTCACCTTTCAAGGATGTCTAAACTTCCTCCCTGTGCCGAGGTACATATGCAAGTGTGTGAGGAAACAAAGAAGGCAGGGGCTCGACCCGTGGGTCCCCACGTGGGGTTATGCTAATTAAGGGCAGTAAGCGCTAATGCTTAACAAGCCAGCTGCCCCGAGCCTAGCCTGGTGACCCGGTAACAGCGCGACCCTGACATCTGGGCTGACCTCAGGTGGGTGCTAGAGACTGAGCAGCTGGATGCCAGCGCCCTCTCCCCGCCGTCTCCTCCTGTGCCCATCCTCCCGCCTTCCGAATAACCCTAGCCTGGCCCACAACGTCCCCTGTGCTTTCACCCCCACGTGCCCTGCAGTCGGACCTGGTCTCTCTTGGCTGCACATGTCCTGAAATAGAAGGTGAGCGTGGCTCCTGAGTTGGGGACCTGGGTTGCTCAGCATTCTAGATTTTTCTGGAGTGTTAAGTCTAGGATAGTGGCCATGAACTTGAATTCTGCCTCCTTCAAAGGACCTCAGATGCCAGCACCAGCATTTATAAACAACTTCCTAACTCTGGGCAAGTTACATCACCTCCCTGAGCCTTAGTTTCCTCATCTATGCAAAGGAGCTTGACCTCGGGATTAAATGAGGTGATGTATGAAATGGGCTTAGCGACATGCTTGGCACATTGTGACGGTTTCTTAAATGTTAGCTACTGACTGCCAAGGCCTTAAAGGGATTATCTTATTTAACACTCACAATGACCTTGTGAAATAGGCATTACCACTCTCATTTGACAGACTTAAAACAGACAAACCCAAGGCTACGTGTACAACAACGAGCCCAGAATCACACCGTGATGGAGTCAGATGTGAATCTGGATGGGATCTTGCCCTCTGCTCTAAAACGTTCTCGCTTGCAATTCTATGAATTGACTGAACTAAGCCAGACCAGGGGTCTCCTCGATTCCCAGAGAGTGGGGATGCTAACCAATGCCAGGGGGACAGAGTATGTCAAAAAAAAAAAGGGAAAAAAAAAGTCACCAGCAATGTCAAAACAACTGCAGACCAGCTAGCGCGTGTCCTTAGCCTAGACTTGATCAGTGGGAAACTGGATATAGCTTTTGAAATACGACAGCAAAGGAAGTTAAACTGTCGATGTGGAAGGGAAGGTCCCAGGGTCCCAGATTGATTAACTTGAAGTCAGAAATCCCGTGAGAGCTTCCCAGCAGCCAAAGCAAAATAGGAAATGGGAAATTAGAGTCATTTATATGATACGTCGGGCCTAGGAGGGAAAAAGACAGATACTCTAGAAAACCTGCTGGGCACACAGGACTAACAGAGCATCTCCTGTGAGGTGACACAAGTTACTAAGTGAGAAAGAGGTCATGTTTTATGTCTCTGGCTCATTTTATCATTCTTGGCTTGCTGGGCTGGGTTCTCTTCCGCTGAACGTCCTCCTTGGCACGGAGGCCTCCGGTCCTGCCCAGCCCTCCTACCCCTTGCCTGGAATGCGAACCAACCTGCTGGTAAAACAAAAACACGACCGACCGAGCGCTGCACCATGGCCCAGGGGCCTGGCAGGAGAGGGGCCGGTGGGCCGGCAGGGCAGGGCACTCACCGTGCATGTCCATCATGCCCGGGGAGGAGCTGTTCTCCGGAGTGGTCACCTCGGAGCCACACTTCTCATCTTTCCCCTTTTTCTTGTTCTTGTTTTTCTGGAGGAGAAAACGGTGCAGAAACCGAGTCACTGAACCATGTGTGTGTGCACGCACAAGCGAGACCCCAGGAAATGGGATGAATGTTTTACTCCGCTGACTCATCTGGGAGCCTCCACGTCTCTGGAGGGCTCTCCTTGGCCTGCATCTGAACACGTCCCACGAGGGGCCTCACCTCCTTCGGAATCACAGAGCCCAGTGGAGGGGAGGCTTCGGGGCTGCAGCCCCTGCAGGCACACAGACACCCAGGCTGGGGGGAACTTCCTCTGGGGACAAGGCCACGGTCACCCTGCCCGGAGCAGGCACCGTGATGCCCAGTGAGGGATGGAAAAGACAGTTCACATATTTCCACCATCATCAGGCTCCTGGGACTGCCCTCCTCAAAGTGCAGTCAGCTGACACCCAGCGTGACCCTGGAGGCCAGGTGAGGGGGGAACCCCAGGGAGGAGAAGGGAGGTGAAAGCAATGCCTTCTGTGTGTGGTTCCACTTCTTACGGATGGAATACAATCGTGTGGGAAACAATCTAGCTGTGTCCATCGGTAAGGGACTTGTTAAATAAATTACAGGACATTCATTCAATGCAGTGGGAAGCAGCAATTACAGAGAAGAGGCAGCTCTTCCTGTACCAATGAGGAATGATCTGCAGAAATATCCACATGTTAAAATATTTCAGTATCTCCGAGACGTATAAAAGAAAGGCGCAGAACACGTGATTGGGATGCTGCCACTGATGGTAAGGAAGAGGATAAATGAACGTGTGTTTATGTGTTTGCTTGTGTGCACACGCTCTCCAGAAGGATAAACAGTGACTTGTCTCCAAGCAAAGACAATGGGTGGGGTCAGCAGTGTGTGCAGGGATGGGAAGCAGATTTATAAAAAAGGTGAGACCGTAAAAAAAGGTAACATTTGAAGAATATGCAACCCTATAGAGACAGAAAGTAGGCTGATGGTTTCTAGGATCTTGGCAGGGGGAGGGCGGTATGAGTTTTCTTTCTGGGGTGATGAAAGTGTTCTGGAATTACAGTGGTGGTTGCACAACTGTGAGCACACCAACACTGGCAGGCACACTTTAAAAGTGTGGATTTAAAAGTTTGAATTGTGTAACATGTTTTACCTACTTAAGAGAATAAAATTTTCAAGAGTTCCAAAGAAAACAAATGGTGTAACCATGTTATTATTGGGTGTTTAAAAACACGAAAAGCTATCCTTTCCCAATGCAGATTCCTGACCACAACCGTCAGAGATTTGGATTCAGCTGTCCGGAGTAGGGCACAGGAACCTGCATTTTGTCAAGACTCTCTGGGGATCAAATGCTCGGCCAGGCAAGGGGGACCCATGGCCCTAGAGGGAGGGGAGGAGTCCTGTACATCTTGGCTCAGAGATGACGGCGAGTCAGCATCTGAGCACTGTCTGCACAGCCATGCTGGGCTGAGTTCTTCCCGTATGATATATTGCCTCTGCTCTGGTGCAGAAACCCCAGGAGCTGACTAACACTGCTCCACTGCACAAAAGAGGGAACTAAGACCCTGCAGGTGAGGTCACCTGTCTGGCATCACAGGTTAATTGGGGGTGATCTGTCCAACTCCAAATCTAGAGCTCTTTGCCCAGCCCTGGGCTGCCCAGTCCTTCTTGACAGCCCATATATTACATTTTCTCCTTGATCACAATCCATTTGGCACTTCCCTGATGTCTGTTTCATGCTATTCTATAATTATCTTCCCCCAACAAGATTATAAATTCCTTGAGAGCAGGGACCACGTCTTCTCAAATGCAAGCGGCGTTTATACAACACCTAATGATGTGCAAGGCACAGCACGGGCAAGAGCCAGGAGCTGCCTTCGAGGAGGCTGCCTGCACCCTGCTCTCCTTCCAGAACGGCTGGCACCAAAGGCCGTGACGGTCTCTGTCGGTACCTTGGTGGCTCCATGAGCCAGGCCAGGCCCAGGAGGGACGACAAACACCCGTGTCCTCAGCCCAAGCCGACCCAGCCAGTGGCCAGCGTGTGATCAAAGGAATAGGAATGGAGCCTCAACCCTGCAAGGAGACCCAAGACTTGAGGGCAGGTCACTGGAGACGGTGGAGAGAGGCTTAGCCCAGCCTTATGGCCCCTAGAAACCTGCCGAGCATGACCACGGGCACGACTAGAGGCACACAGGTCAGCATGAGCCATCTTCCTAGATGAGAAGGCTGTTTGCATGGATGGAGAAGGTATTCCAGGCAGGAGGAACAGCCCAGGCAAAGGCCTGTAGGTGGGACCATTCTGGATTTTGTCTGGAAATGAGAGTAGCTGTCCTGGGGAAGCTGAAAAGCTATCTCTGATGTGGGGCAGCTGCCTGTGGTGGATCCCTCCCTGAAATCAAGCACAGCCACTGGGGCTCCCCCTAGTGGTGGTAGCCACAATCCCTCCTGGAAACCCTACCCCGACCCCCCTAAATGGTCCATGCTTCTCTGCACCAAACTCTCACTCTAGGGTCACCCATTACCACCAGCTCCAACCACCAGAAGGCTCTCCAGGAGTAGAGAGACTATGTGCTTTGGAGTCAGACAGACCCAACACTTGCTGTGTGACTCTGGGGAAATGGCTTCACCTCTCTGATCCTGTATCCTCACTTATACAGAGTGGATAGAGAGCTCAATTCCACAAGGTAATGCCTGGAAGATGGTGGGTGCCCGGAATAGCGCTACAATGATGGGGGAGGGTCCCCCTGTCTGGGGGTACCACCATATCCATCCCAAAACCATAGTGCCCAGGGTCTCAGGGAGGGGACACCTCTGCACTAAGGTGAGTCCCCACTGGTAAACTGTGGGGCTCTCAGCCCCCAAGAGATGATTTTAGAGGACATTTCCCACCTCTCAGAGGGCCAAACTCTGGGGCTGGACCATGGGGGGAGGGGCCTCTCCAGCCCTAAGCTGGGTCCTCCTGCTTTCCAAGGGGCCTTGGCCCCGGGGTCTCTGCATGGTGGGTGGCAGCAGACAGCCCCCTCTCCCTGTGGTGGGAAGGAGCATGGATAAACAGCCCCACCCCAGGGGACCAACCCTACATACTCACATCGTCAACCTTTGGCTCCGTCACAGGGACCCACTTGTAGATTCGCAGGGACGTGTCACCCACTGTCACCCACTTCTTCTCCCTGCAGAGGAAGAGGAAGAGCCCATTACCAGGGGGCTTCTGGGGGAAGGCTTGTGGGGGGCACAGCCGCACTCCCCTGGAGCAGCTGTGACTGCTGGGCTGCTCCGGGTGAGGGGGGGGCTACGAGAACATGCTCCGATCACACAGACGAGGGTTGGAATCCCAGCTCTGCCACTCGCTAGCTGGGGGCCCCTGGGCAAGTCACTTCACGAGCCCAAGCCTCAGTTTCCCCACGTGGTTAACAGGCTGCCGTGAGGATTACGTGAGACAAGACATGTGGACACTTCCTCATGCCTGGAAGGAAATGCTTGGTAAGACTCGGGGTGGGCAGGGCTGCCACTGGGATGATTCCTCTGGATGGAGAGACTCAGGCCCCTGGTTCCTCCAGCTTTCGCCCCACAGAGCCAGGGACCTGGGCCGCCCGAGAGAACTGGGCAGCGGAAAGGGCTTCACACCAGTGGGGCATCTTCTCTGGTGGGGGTGGAGGTGGGGGCAGGAAGGTCCTCACCAAGAGCCCCCAGGGCTCACCCTGCCCTCCCCGCAATGCCCCTGAAGTCGTGGGAAGGAAGCAAGAGCAGACAGCATGAGTAACCGCCCCAGGCTCTTCCGGGCAAATGCCAGTTAGATCAGCCAAGGGGAACGGAGAGCAGGGGCCAACCCGCACACCCAGTGGCCTCGGCCCCAACAGGGTCCAGGTGTTGATACCGAGGGACCGTGACAGGGAAGCACAGCTGGCTGGGGGGTCGCTCCCAGACCCGACACCTCTGTTCTGAGATGCCTAGACATGAGCTTCAGGGTCTCAGCTCCTAACGTCTGCAGGGCTGCTTCCTACTCACCCCCAGCTGCCTCCAAAACTCCTGGGGGGCAGTGCCCAGGGCCCCTCACCTGCCAAAGGCAGGTTTATGGTGAGAAGCAAATCACAAGCCATGAGAAGGAAAGGGGGTGCTTGGTCCCCACTAAAGGAAATAACAGTAATTACCGCGCTCTCCTGCCACCACTCTGCTCTGAGCATCGTCCTTCTCCAGACTATCACTCTGGCCTCCCAAGTTCGGTCCTTGACCTCCCGCAGTCCACGAGTCAGGTCCTGTCACTTCCTGCCCCTAACACTGGGAGTGATGGCCAGAGGCCGTGTGCCTGAGGACACCGAGGCTCAGGGAGAGCCCCCCCAGGAAGAAAGCCAGGATTCCAACCAGGCAGCTGGGGCCCTAAAGTCCACATTTCCCGCACCAGGCTCTGCCATCTCGGAGAACTGAGAGGTCACGAGGAGGAAATTAGCTGACTCAAGGGACCACCCACTGGATGTGGGGGCCAGATGCACACCTGCTGTAGGTGGCGTGGTGGCCAGGAGCCCTCAGTGATTTTAGTGACAAGGGTTCCACCAAAGCCGAGAACTACATGTGGCATGAACACCTCTGCTTGCGGGCTGCCAGGCACCTTGTCCAGCCTCCCTACCCATCCCTCAGCCTTGGGTCCCCCCTCCGTGGGAGAGCAGCCCTCACAAGCTGGTGGGACCCATTACCACCACCCAGCACCCCTTCACCACTGCGAGCTCTGAGTGCCCGAGCTCACTCAAAACCAGCTAACCAAAACCACAGGCACCTCCACGCCCAAAACTATGCCTGCTCGGGTCGCAAACGTCCCCTGCTGGAGGAAGCTAGGGTCTGGCTTTTATTTACTCTACTATGACCGTTTTCAGTGCCTCCTACCTGGTAAGCACTGTACACATTTCCTCTCATCTTCCCATGACCTTGTGTGGCACAAACTGTCACCTTCCTCATTTGACAGATAAAGAAACTGAGGCACGAGGAGGTGTAGTCATTCTCCCCAGAGCCAGTGTTCAAACCCTCCCTGTTCCACTGCTTTCTGGAGCAGCCTCCCCCTGACCCCATCCCTGCCCTTTTAGCCCTGAAAGAGTTAAAGAAAGGCAGGTATCTAAGTTTCCACCCACCTGTCTCCTACCTCCTGGAGGCTGGATGGATGATCCACAACCCTAGTCCTTCCCCACCTCCATTCTGAATAATCAGAAGGTGCCTGGAAGGGACAGGGACATTCCAAGAAACAACCTCGGTGACGAAGCAATAAAGAATCATAGTGGGCATTGTGTGCTGAGGGCTTACTTTGTGCCAAACAAGCGCTTTATTGACATGCCCTCTCTCTCGAGAATTGCCTACAGGCCTATGAGAGGGGGACTATTGTCACCCCACTCTATAGACGGGAAACGGGAGGCCCAGAGAAGTTATACCACTAGTTCATGGTCACACAGCTAGTCAATGGCAGAACCAGGGCTGGACACAGGCTCTGACCCCAGAGCCCTTCTGTCATCTGTCTCCCATGAAAAACTAAGAAATGATTCCACAGAGCACATCGGTGGAAGAAGCTGCACAAAGAAGTTTAAATTGCTAAACCCCTATGCAAATGGCCAAAGGCAATCAGTGCTCACAAGCCCTCAACTGCCTTCCTCACCAGGCCCCAGTAGGTCAGCAAATCCAAGGCTTGATTGTTTAAAAAAAAAAAAAAGTAATTGACTTGCACAACATAGGACACCTCTCAGGGCAGAAAGTGTGACAGATCCGGGCTTTGCAGGCCACACGTGAGCCAGGGTGAACGGGTGAAGTCGCGGGTGCTTCCCAGAGAGGTTACAGGTCCCTGCAGGTTCTGAGCTGAGCACAGCCAGGTTCTGCTGCCTCCCTTGGCCCCAGCGGGTGACCTCTGGGCCCGAGTTCCAAACTGAACCCAGAGATTAGAAACCATTCTTCAGGTGCAATTCTGGTCGTGGACGCTGAGGGACTACGGGACAGAGGGAGAGCGTTAGGAGCCTCAGGGCTGCTGCCCGGCCGGCAGCCCCCAAGGGAGAGCCAGGCCCCGGGGCTCAGGGGCGTGTCACCAGCGTGAGCACCAGGTGCGCCATCGAGCCGGGGGGCTTGGCAGTGCCTTGGGAAACAACACCTGGACTTGGGAGCAGCTGAGAGTTCCCACCACGGCCCCCAAACTCATCACCCTAGAACATACAGTCCCCCAATCCCCAAGGAGGGTATTAATCGTATTTATAACGCCTTATATTCACGATGGCAAACAAGCAGCCAACAGGCATGGTTTGTCTGGCCAGCACAGTACTTTCAAAAATTTGGATCAACTGCTAGAGTTAAAAAAAAAAAGTCAGACCCCACATAAAAATCGTTTCCTGGTTATTCCCCAAAACACAACCTGGCCACAAGAGGCCCACATGGCCTGAGGAGCAATGGCTCTCCCCAGAAGGGCCCTGTGGCTCTCCCAGATCCCCCAAGTCTCACCACCTGTGGCCACTGGGCCTGGATTCACCACAACCACCAGGCCGCAGCCCAGCCTTGCCACGAAGCTGCCCCGGGCTCGCCCTGAGCCCTCCGGCCTGGCTGGCCCCCCGTAACCAGCCAGGCTTCGGTGCCTCTCTCTTCCTCACCAGGCTTGGGCGCTGGGACAAAAGGACTCAGTGAGGTCCCAGCTGTACGAATAGAGCCCCAAATGCCCAGCACAGGCTCCTGTATAAACTACAAGCACCCCTTGACCCAGATTCTCTAGGCCAAGGCCAAATTCTAATGTTCCCCCAGGTCCAGGTCCAAGGGATTGCCAGTCAGGGAGACCATCTTGGGATCACCTGACTCCCTCAAAGAGGGATCTGAACCCTTCATTTCACACCCACTTCCCAGGGCTAGGCCCTGATACCACAGGAGGCCTCAGCCTAACTAGGCCCTGGCCCACGTGACCTGCCCTGTGCCTGGCCGGAGAGTACCCCTGGAGGTACCGAGGTGAGGGCCTAGCACAGTCAAACCTCCGCCTCCCCCAGGGACGGGTGGGAAGTCTCAGAGAACAGGCCTCTCTGTCTTCACAAGCCACTGAGGGACCCTTCAGACCCAAGGTCCCAGGGGTCCCGGGCCTAAGCCTACTTGGAGGCTCAAGCCTTTGCCTCCTGCCCAGAGACTCCCCCTCCCCTGCTCCTCTCCACACACCCACTGGGTCTCCTAACCCTGGCCCAGTTTCCCCAAAAGGGGCTCAGCATTTTGCTCTTCCTTCAGCCATGATTTGGCGGCCTCACAGTCGGCCTGCCTTGCTGGGATACCAGACAGAAAGGAAAGGAGAAATGGCCGGCAGCTACGGACAGAGTGGCCACGGCTGGCTGCTGGCTTTTTCCAGGGGCAGGGAAAGCGTTGGGCTGGCAAAGTGGGGGATTTTTAGGGGTCACTCGGGCTGAGGAGAAATACCAACCTAGGCTTACAGGCTGAGTGGTATGCCAGGCACCTCTGTTCTGGATTAAAAAAATAAAATAAAATCAGGATGCCAAGTTAAATTTGAATTTCAGACAAACAACAAAAAAAATTTTTTAGTACAAGTATGTCCCAAATAGTGCATGGGACATACTTACACTAAAAAAGTATTTTAAAATGTTATTTCATTGTTTATCTGCTATTCAGATTTGACTGGGTGTCCTATAATTTTATTTGCTAAATCTGGCAACCTAGTGTCTCAGCCAGTGGTGAACTGCATGGTTGCTGGCCACGCAGTTAATAAACAACCCCAAACCACAAGGACCGACTGGAAGACGCATTCTAAAGGCACAGTGAGGGTGAGATTTGGCTTCTCTTGGCTGAGGAAACCCAGGAAATAAGGTGGTCTTTTTAGCTCAGAATGGGCAGGAAAAAGAAAAAGAAAAAAAAATATCAGCAAAATGTAAGTTTCTACCTTACAGTAAGGACAGCATTTAATGACCACTCCTGTGTGTAGGATATGTGCTTCTGGAGACATGACATTATTCCAAGAGAAGAGAAGGAAGCAGAGACACCCCTAGCTGCTATAGTCAGAGAAGTTACATGGTTAGCCCAAGGTCACAGCAAGGAAGTGAACTGGAAGCCCAGCCATGAGATCCCAAAGCCCGAGGTCTTTAGAGGACTTGACACCTAGTTTCCCAGAACACAAAAAGGGAGGGAGACCGGTTCTCCCCTCTCCCCACCCAAACACAGGCCTGGCCCACAGCAGGCACAGCGGGCTGACTGCTCTGGGCCCCCCGGGGTGAAAACCCCACAGCTCCATCTGCCCTCCCTGTAGAGCAGCTGGCGGGTGGGCCCTCCAGGAGCAGCTGTCAGGGTGCAGGAGCCTCTGCCAGGCTGGGAACCTGGGGCAGAAGGCCCCAGCACACGTCCCGAAGCACAGAAAGGCAGCTTGCCCCCACCCGTCTCACCTCCAGGGTGGTGACAGAAGGGACTCAGGCCCAGACAACAGTTCTTTCTTTGCAGGGGCATTAAGGCCGGGGACAACTCCAGCCTGCCCTCTGGGAGTCCCGCAGGAGAGGGGGTTGTGGGCTTGCTTTCCTGTGTGTGTTTTGGCCTGCAGCTGTTTCTGCCATTTTTAAATGGCCCCAGTCCGGGCACTGGGCGCCCTGTGCACCAGGGGAGCTCCCACAGCAGGCAAGACTTGGATCACAACTTTGGAAGGCCTCCCCTTCTCACGGTTCTGAAAATTCTTTGTCCCATTGGAGCCAAACCCAGCCCTCCGCCGGGCATCCGGCCATCTGCAGACAGCCCTTTCCATAGGAGGCCCGGGAGCACGTGGACTTTATTGATTTTCCTCTTGCCTTTTTTGTTGGGTTTGACTCAGAAAGGACAGCTAACTTGTGACACGGCTAGACTGGAGGCTCGCCCCCAGTGGTTCTAAGAGACCGAAGCGTTTCTCAAGAAATGACACCCCCAAACATAAACGGAAGCCCGCCACGGGGCCTGCTGGGTTTTCAGGCTTTAAATAAAGGGTCAGGACGAGCCCGCGGGCGCTGACACTCGAACGCCGTGGCGGCTCCTCTCCCTCCCTGACCCTGGTGAGGCCGTGGGAAAAAAATACTAAAGTTGAAATCCGGTAGCCGGGAGTTTTCAACAAGTCTGCCCCAACCTGGCGATCGTCTCGCGCCTCGGGCCTGGCCCTCGGGCCGATTCCGAGACAGACCCGGACGAGGCCGGGGAAACGTTCAGTCGTCTTAATTACAAGGCCACGCCGGTCAGA